GAGCAAAGCCGCTGCCTGGGCAGCTTTGCTCGTTAGCCCGGGAGCAAAGCCGCCCAGGTGGCGGCTTTGCTCAGGTGTCCCTGGTCTTCTGGGGGGGGCGGTGTCCAGCGGCTTTGCTGGACCCCCCCAGCAGACCAGGAGAAGCTTTTCTCGCCCCGGAGGACACGGGTGGGGACCCGCCACCCGTGAGCTCCGGAGCGAGAAAAGCCCCGTTCTTAAGTGCGGATCCGATTTAAGTCAGATCCGCGTAAGTTGGGGACTGCCTGTACTGAATGGACAAGATTTCTCATCTAAAGTTCCAGAATAGTCTTCCATTTTTGCTGCTGATAAAACTACTACAAGAGTTCTTGAAAACAAGTCATGGTAAAAGTCAGAAACTCCAAAAGTGTATTCATGATGACAAATGAAATATTTGCGAAAATAAATGAGAAAATGGCATATAATTAAAGAACATATTGAAAGAGCTGCACTAAATCATAACCACTTGAATCCCATTATTATTAAGAGCTGTACATCTAAAACCCTCAACAACTTTGAAAGTTTACAGATGATGTTGAACAAATAAATACAATAATCAGGTTCCAAATATTACATTTTATATAGGAAATCAAAATGATACAATGGTTTGTTATAGTGGTGACAGAAGCAAACTATTGTTTATTCCATATTTTATATTCATAACATTTTTTCCTATAACATATATGCCTCACTGTACCAAACAAACTGCACAACATAGGTGCAATAAGACTTTTTCATTGGATTGTAAAAATGACACGGCCCCCCCTCTGGTAAACAGGAATACTAGCTCTTCATCTCACGAGAGTATTATAAGAATAAATTAATTTGTGAAGCACTCAGATAACTAGAGATGAGAGCCATACAAAAGCTCATAAAAAATTAATAATTCTGTCTTTGGAGCATGATTTGAATAGTATGAAGTAAATAAGACATGTAGTCACATGAGGATATAACAAAATATTGAATAGCTGCTCACTCAGCACCTGCCATTCTGTGGACTGAATGAGTCAGGGTCTTGTGAAAAAAGTACAATGTGATTAGATAACATTGGTCTGCAAATTGAAACAAAGTTTCTGTTGTTTTGATAAAAATTGGTGACTTTACATAATTTTGCTATGCTGATTTCAAAAACGGCATCCATTTTGCTCTATCACATAAGGATTTTTCACAAATCAATAAGAAAAAAATGGACATTTTTCATGCTTTTTATTCCACCTTATGTATTAAAAACGTGGTAAATAGTAAATTATAGTTCTTTTGCAAGGTCTGCAGTAAGTCCTTGTTTAAAGAACAAAGGAGGAAAGTGTGAAATTTAACAATTGAGTAATTTTAAATGATTAGATGCGACTGAATCGAAGTTTTTTTGACAACTTTTTATGCATTTCACCATGTATAACACATTATAATAGCATTTTTTTAAAAAGTAGACTCCAGTTTTCAGAAAACCCGTGTCATGGGTAAAAATGGATATAATTTGAACTCAGCACCCCAAAATTAGTTAAGAACAATTATTTGTTCTCAAACAATGGAACCCATGCATTAAAGACTGAATCATACTTAATACACACAAGGAAGCTCTATTAAGGTTGCACAGCCAACCTTAATTCTGGCACTTTTTAACTTTAGAGAGCTTCATGTGGCAACCTTACTCTTCCTTTTAATATAGTTGTGAGTATAATTATGCATATTTGAATATACAGTTTGTATATATGTAATACAGTATAGTCTGAATTCTTATCGTGTGTTAATAAAATTTGGTTTTCTGAGTGCACACTAGATTATTGTTTAATTTTTCTAATAAAATGTTAAATATATTTGATAATGCTTATAACTGGAGTTGGGATCAGACAAATAGCTTAATGAGCAACTATGCCTGACATTAAAATTCTGTTTATAGACTCTGATCCTGCATAATAGTCTTTTACTATATTATTTAAGCTGCTTTGGAAGTTTATCAAACAAATATGCAGTTCAAAATCATGCAGATGAAAGTTAAACTAATTTTGATCTTCAACTATGTATGACAAATCCAATATCAGATTGGCTGTTTCCACTGCCACTTGTAGACCACTACATTTTGCAGTAAAACAGTCCAATACAAGATGGTCAGTGGCGTTTACAGAAGGCCTATTAGAACAGCTTTGTGGGATAAAAGGGATACATTGGCGTTGTAAAACTGTCCAATTGAGATTCCGTTGATTATTGTAAATACCACAACCACACTTCAAAACTAAATCTGACCAGTTACAGTCAGAGGGAAATCCTGACTGAACTGACCAAAAATGTCCATAAACCATATCAGTAAGAATTTCACCATCATCATGTTCCAGGCAGCAAGCTACGCATTCCAGCGAACGGCAAAAGGCATCAGCAACCAATTGGTATTGTGTCTGTGAACAATCTATGGCTTTTAAAATACCGGTAGAAAGGGTAGAACTCTAAAAGATAAACAATAAAAAATTATAAAAGTAATAATTGAGCAACTGTAAATGTGTACTTTGACAATCAGGAAAATAAACTAGCAAACATATTATTTGTTACCGAGCACACACGGAATAGTTTCCTACCAAACTACTGGATAAAGCTTTGCAGTTTTTAACAAGTAGCCCAGTTAACATTTTTAACTGAGGAAAATTTGTTAATGTGTTGGCACAGTTCAAATATCAAAGGTTTTTACACCAGTAAAATCAAAGCCAAAAAAGTCCTATTCTTATTAGCATTGAAGACAAAATAATTCTATACAGTTCCTGTTTTCAATTAAGTACATTATAGGAATAAAATGAACGAACTGTTGCTATGGTAAATGGAAATCAGAAGAGCTGTTGAAGAGTACAAATACAGTATTTCTTAGGCAATAAGTCCTGAGGCACAGGACAACTTTATCAGCACAACTTTAAAATCTCATACAATTTAACTCTAATCGTTCTTTGGAGAATAAAATGCAACACTTGATGTCAACATAACCTGCTAAAGACAAGTGAGATGTTTCAATTCTGTCTGTAATTGAATAGAAACTAAGGGTACATCTAGACAGTACCCTTCTGTCAGAATAAGCTATGCAATTTACACTATGCAAATTGCATAGCTTATTCCGAGTCTAAATTGAAAGATCTTATTTTGAAGTTTAGCACTGCCCATATAGTGCCAAATTTCAAAGTAAGGCACTATTCCGACAAATCCCTTAACCCTCATGGAACAAGGGTTACAGGGACACCGGAATAGCGCACCCACTATTTCAGGAAATAGCGGGCGCTTTTAAAGGCACAGCATTGCTATTTCGGCATACTTCCAATATCCTGAAAGAGCAACGCAGTTTAGACGTACCCTAAATTCCTTGTCAACTTAAGTGGATTAAACAGCTTTAAATATCTTTTCAAGGCCTTACATACCTTGTGTTTTATGTACGAAGCCAAATGAGTTTCTGTGCAACCACCTCCTAACAGTGCCAAGGGTTGCTTGATTGTTAGTTGTAAAACATGTTCAGCCGTTTGACATACATGCTGAAGAGCAAGAAAAATTGTCATTGCATATAGTATCACTAAAACAAACTTATTTTAAAAAGGTTAAAAAATAACTTTTTAGAATATACTTTTAAAGTGCAACTTCTTTAAGAAGTGTAAATGTACAGATGGCACTTGCTTACTCACAGATCTGCTTTGGTTGACTTCAGTATTACAGCTGCTTATGTAGTGAACAAAAAGAGCTTTTGCTATTTATGGTGCTTAACACTATAGATCACAGCCAAGAGTGTTGTATTTTGTTCCTAATTTTGCATAATCCAAATTATTTACTAAGTTTCAATAAATTACAAACCTGGAGCCCCATATTATCATAGAACCACACTTTAACTGTCTAAATTACTCAAGGGTGAGTGTTGCTGAGAGTTAGCAGTGACCCTGAGACTTTCCTTTCACAGCTGAGAAAAACTGAAATAACAGCATCCATTTCTTTCCCCAGGTGTGGCCTCTAAAGTAACTGTGCAAAATGGTGTGGCAAAAATTCTTTGTTTCTGCTGTATTTACTGAGGTGAGCCAGTGATGAAGAGTTTTCTGGTTATAGTGACTGAAATAATAATAAACCTATCCTCACACAATCTGCTCCCTCCAGAAGAATATGAATTATTAGATCATTTGAAAAACTTTGCCTACCTTCAGCTCATCCCATGCCATTTCATTTCTGTTACAGAGTATCAAACTGCAGACAAGAATGTCATTAGGAATTAGATGCCAAAAATGTTTTGAAACAAAATTCTCAGTGCGCAAATCCTTCAGACTGCCATAACAAGTAGGAGATAGAGAATGTAGGGCAGCAATAGGCTGTGAACCTGTACAATTAAGGAAAAAAACAAAGAACAGCATCTATTATCTTATCAGAATAGCAGTCTACTGTATTTTGTAGAACATGGACTGTAAGATTGATTAGTTATATTTTAATTTTACAAATGTATTTTTCAAGACACATTCATGTAAATTTTCAAACTGTGATGGAAATCATGCAGACACAAATCAGCAAGTGCTTTGAAAATATAGGTTCTGGCAATAATTCGTGATAAAAGTAGGAATTTTATTATTCATTTAAATAGGGCATTATCTGTAAGCCATGTTTGCCATGGCACTCTAGCTCTAAGTGCTGTAAGCAACGTCCAGGTGTACAGATGTGTCAATAGTAGAGCTGGCCACAAAAGGTTTCCATTAAAGTTTGAAAAATCTGGTTTCCAATTAGTTATAGCCATATTCTGTTAGTCTCACTGGTGACGTGTCTTGTTCAAATTGTGAAGATAGACAGAAAAGAATGGAGTTAAAGAATTCCTGCAGCACAGAATGGCAAGCAAAGAGATTTAAAATTATAATGTTGAACTTCTTAGTTTTCAAGCTTTTAATTAAAACTTGAAAAAATGATTACTCTTAACTTGACTTTACCACAGTTGTTTGGAAACATTTCTGAATTTTCACTTTCCATTTCTTTTTTTGCCAAATAGAAATAATTTAATATCTGTTTCTTCATCAAAGGTTTCATCTTTATGACGGTCATATATTCCATCCTCTTAAAAGATTAAATGACTTGCTCTCTTGAGGACTTTATATCTTGGTAAGCTATAGCAAAATAGCAGAACCAATTTCAGTGAAAAACTTGAGAGTTGCCAAGATACAATCTGGCTGCAGCAGAGATTACAAGAAAACAGAAACTCAAGTTAGAGTATTATAAACATGAATGGAAACTTTAATTGGGATAGTAGTTACAATGTGTTGAATCTATTAAATATTTAGGCATAGGTGTAGACCTTTTTGATAATAAATGGCATTTGATTTAAAATAATGAAAGGATTACTTTAGGATCCCATTATAACTTTGTGGCTCCTGCCTCACCATTACCAAATTATGGCACTTCCTAACAATAGGCCTAGGCTATGTCTACACTGCAATGCTATTTCGGGATACCAGAGTTATCTCGAAATAGCTATCTCATGTTTTCACAGAAAACCCATTATTTCAGGCTTGCTATTCCGACATCCGTGTAAACCTCATTCCAAGAGGAGTAAGGGACGTTTTGGTATAGCGGGCTATTTCAAAATAAGATATGCAATTTGCATAGTTCAAATTGTGTATCTTATTTTGAGCTATGGTGCAGTGTAGACACACCCCTATATTTTTCTTTCTGATTAGTGGCACACAAAGGGCATGTCTATACTACAGGGAAGATTGACATTGCCGGAGTCATCTTTCCGGAGTTCAATTTAGCGGATGTACTGTAGATCTGCTAGATTGATCTCAAAGGATGCCCATCGGTGCTGGTACTCCGACTCCTCGCTAGGAGTAAGAGAAGTGATGGGAGCGTTTCCTGCCATTGATCTCCTGCTGTGTGGACGGGGATTTAAGATACATTGATTCCATCTACGTAATTTATGAAGCTGGAGTTGCATGTCTTACTTCCCGTATACTGCAGACCAGGACAAATATTGGGCCCAAATGTGATGTAGCCAAAAGTTATTACTTAGTGAAGGAAGCTTTTAGACTGATGCCCGAATACTAGAGATGAGTGTATTACAGGTACCTAGATTTTTAACTTGGCAAATTCTAACATATTAGACTCTAATCGTATAATTCTTATATTCCTTCTTCCCTATCCTTGGACAAACAAGAGACATACTTCGATCCTACTCACAGCTCTGATATTATAGTATTCAAATTTAATGTTAATCTGAAGCTAGGTCCTGTATTTTCAAATGGTATAATTAATGTACAGCAGTATTTTCTACCTGTAACTGTTGTCACAGCTATAATGGCACTAAAATGTTTTAACCTGAAGTGGAGAGGAAATAAATAGTAATTGGAATCTCATTTTGTGATCTGAAATCAACATCACAAATGACTAGGAACAATTTCTTCCCACTTTTCACTGGCAAACATTACCATTCCTAGTCCTTGTATTTCACAAAACATACATAAATATTGTAATTATCTAGCTATGTTTTTTTATACTGGTTTGTGAATGATTAGCACATCTTGGATCATGAGCAGTACAACTTTTATTTCCTTGTTAAGGACATTACTTGCATGTGCAGTTTTTTGAAAATGGTCTTTACAGTGCAACATCAGTTATATGTTGAGTGTTTATACCAAATAATTAAATCCTCAATCATCATTTAATGTTATGAAACACAGCGTTTAGAGTTTGATTCTATCTGCTCTAGGTAATAGAATGGGTAATTGACTTGTAAATACCAATTATTGTACTTGTGTAGGAATATGCAGAAATGACTTTTATGAAACAACTTATAGGAAGGATATGGTCATGTATATGAAGGCAGGCTCAAGCTCTCTTTGACAAAGAGTTTGAAATAAAGATGTATATAAAGAAGTTCTAGTTTGCTGGATTTCAAAATTATTCACTATTTTAAGATTAAATTGATGGTACCTAAGATGATACAATGGCTACATCAATCAGATACAGGAAAGATGGATTACAATCTTGCTTTTTGACATTTCTGTTTCCCTTAAAACTAATGTTATGGATGCCAAATAAAAAGTTAATGTATTACCTGTCATTTGACTCAGCGGCTCTACCATTGATAATCCAACTCTGTCTATAGTGATGACACGATGCTCTTTCAGGTATTGTTTCAAAGATGGGTGGATAACTTTCTGGCACACTACAAGGCCTACTTGGTCATTAACCAACTGCTTTCCTAAATTAAGCAACTGATCCAGTACTGCTACTTCTAGAGAAATGCCGTGATGAACAATGACAGGTCCATCTCCAATATTGGAAAGGTCTCCTGACAGAGAGATACAAAAAAGGGCCATCTTGATAGTACTTGAAGAAACTCTTTTGACAGGAAATATACTTGCCAACTGAAACACTGGTATTTCTATCAGTAGTCCAGGATATACAGCAGACTCCATAACTCTTTTATCTTTCACAGGTACAATTACACACTTTCCTAAAACAACATTAGTTTCAACAGAATGTGGAATTGTAAGTAGAAAAGCCTTTAAAATCAGTGTGCTGATGTAACTGGCTTCTGTTTTGTTAAGCATGCAAGCAGGCTTGCTTGCTAATATGCTACGTACCAAAGAAAGAAGGGTCTTAATACTGTCAAAATCAACTGATAATCGGCAACCACAGGCCTCAGACTTGAGATAGTCAATACATGAACTCAAAAGATGTCTACTTATTTTAGTGACCGTACTAGACTCAAAGTTTATTCTTTGAAAATTTTCAACCAAGCTGCAGCAAAGAATGGCAGTAAATAACCCACAGTCACTGAAGCGTGATATATGATTCTTTACAGAGGCTGTCAGAAGGTTTAATACTGGATGGGTAACAGAAAGACCACCAAGCAAAGCAGAAGATTGTGAAGTTATGCGAACATAGCCTCCCATACCATTGTGGAGCTGTTTGAGTCTACCCGTAGGGCCATAGCAAGATTTTACTATACCACTTAATACAGACAGAGAGAAACTAACTACATCTTTAGTTAAAGGTTTGTCGGTACACAATGAAGGCTTTTTAGCTTCAATGCGAGACATCTTCAAGACAAGCTTTTTATTCTGATCAACAAATTTTCAAGTTTATTCCACTCTTCCTTGAATCCATAAGTTAGAGAAGTTTTAATCTACAGAAGTATATTTTTCCTCTTTGAAGCCAAACATATTATAAAAAGGAAACCATGAATACAGAATGACAACTATGTCCACGTAGCTGTTCATTGTTTAATATTTGAATCTGGAGTCCAAATATAATAATGATAAATGGATATGTGATGATTGGAGAAAATTATTTCATTCTTCAAGATTCTTTTGTTTAACTTCCAAGGCTGATTTAGCAGAGTTCTTTGCAGCTCTTTGTATAAAATATGTACCAAGATGGACACCCAGAAATGAAAATCCTGCCACAAGCAGCCAGTTCTTTCTAATCCAACTGGTTTTTCTCATTTCTTCCTTCGTTGGCAAGATCGCAGATGCAAACTTTCAAGGTTAATTATATCTACAATAAATAAATAAATAACAGGATATTAGTATGACCATTTAAACAAATATATTGTATACTGGCTGTAACTTAGTCTGATTTCTCAGATGAGACAATGTCAATAGTCAGTAACTGAGCAAATCAGCAAAGGCAAGACTAGTAATTTGACACCTATATTCTTCCCCAAACACAGTGTGTGGGTGTGTGTTTGTATACACACACAAATACTTAACTGTAGTGTTTTTTAAATAAGATGAGAAAGCTTGGTACAGTTAAATATAATATGGGCAGATATACTGTTCAAACATTTGTGTTTCTGCCAGTTAACTTCTTCATGGATGATTTGTGATATCCATGCCATTTTACTCAAATCTCCAAAGAACAGCCTATTACCAACTGTATCAGATTATGTGAATATTTGAGTCTATATTGGGTGTGATAATTGCATTTTACTTTAGATCTACACAGATGAGAAGTTAGTGCATTCGTAACAACCTCCCTTAATGTGCAATCACTTCAAAACAAAATGATTTTATATGTTCAGAGGTCTAGGAACTTATTCCCATTTTTATGGGGAGGAGCAGCGGAGAAGGTGGCATTGAATAGCACTTGTATTTGTAGCCTGGTGAAGTTTTGATGTTTAAAATGTACACACTTCTCAGCTTACTTCTAAATACTTAAAGTTTAAAGGTGTTATTTTTAAATTTAAAATTAGTATTCTTTGAGACACTGTAATCATACAACATTTTAACACTCAATGGCTTGCATTTCTGACACTTTGTTCACGACATGCTTAGATCTGTAAATCATGTCAAACTGACTGAAAACAAAATACCAAGCTAGTAATACAAATTCAGACTAAAATTATGAAACTGTTACACAAGATGTTAAACATAAGGATTTTAAATATACCATACTGTGAGTTGAGACTAATGATACACTCATTTAAAAACAAACATTTAATTATCCCATATCTAACAATACTGATAATGATACTTAAATAGTATAACACACTTATTCCTGCTTAGTAGGATTTAAATATTACAGGTTCAACTTCCCTGGTTCAGCACACCCTAAGAACCAAATTGGCCCCAAACCAGTAAATTTGCTGGACCAGTGGAAGTCAATGCCAGCCTTTCAACTGCTGACAGCTGCAGGACTCCACCCCAGTGGAAGCAGAAGGGCTGGCAATGATGAAACAGAGATGGAGGGAGGCAGTTGGGAAAAGTGGGGCGGATGCAGAATCCCACTGCTAAAGGCCAGGAGTGAAGCCTTGCTGGAGGCTCCATAGCCACCTCACCCATTTCCCTGAATGCCCCGTGGCCCTGCTCCTTTCCCTCCCTCCTCAAACTCGAACATCTCAAATCAGCTATTTGCAATGCTTTTGGAGGGCAAGGCAGGAGTTGCTGGGCATGGGCTCCCTGGCTTTTCCCTGTGAGTGCTCCTGCCCTGGTGCATCCACAGATGCTGGACTACACACATTGCTGAATGAGGGAAGTATGGATTATAGAGATTCAACTGACATTTCTGCAGCAGGAAAGGACTACTTCTGAGAGGGGGAATCCTGGCCTCATTGTAGTTGTTAGAAGTTTCACCATTAACTTCAGCAGTGTTTCTTAAACTACATTCCGTTGAACACTGGTGTTCCGTGAACAACTCGCAGGTGTGCCGCAACCTCTTCTTTGTTTTTTGAGGGTTTTTTTTTCTGAAAACAATTTTTTTTAAGAAAATGTTCATAGGTATTCCACAAAAATTATATTATTGCTTGGTGTTCTGTGGTCTCAAAAAGTTTAAGAAACACTGAACTTCAGTGAAACCTGATTTTACCCAATATACAGTATCTGGTTTATAGTTAAAAGTGACTTGCAAAACTTTTCAAAACCATTTTTAAAATTATGTTCCAAAAGCCCTTAAAACAATAGTATCTATATCTACCTATGTTTGTATATAACATCACTATGTTAAATACAATTTAATCTCTCACTGAGTCATGTTTGTCAGTAGACTTGACCCTCTTGGACTCACATTTATTAGATAGACTTGAAAAGCCTTTATAGGATAATAAATACTAAGGGGCTGTGCCCCCTGCTTGCCAACCCCCTCTCACTGACTACCTTCGTGGCCAGACAGCTGTTAATATTGCACTGAGCCCAGCTGTGCTCTCCATGGCCCCAAGACACTTACACACTTCTCCACTCCCACCTACCACACTCCTGGATGGACCCCTCTATTCGAACATTTTTGGCCCATCCCACCCGCTCATGCCCTTCAATCACCAGCCAGTCCTTCTGCTGCACCCTTCCTACTCCTGCTCTACCTGCCAATAAACAAGTCCATGGCCCAGTCCACCCCCTCCTTTCACCCCTAGCCCTACCTCCAACCTCTATTCCTACACCCCCATTTCCCTGCCTCCATTCCTACACCCACCATTCTCCCTAACCCCTCCCCCTCCGGGTCATCCCCCTCATTCCATCCCTACTCCTACCTTCGTTCCTACACCCCCATCCTTCCCTAACCCCTCCCCCTTCGCACCTCCACACTGCCCATCCCCCTCACCGCCAGTCCTCCCCCCTCCACCTGCTTTACAGAGAAGGGTAGTAGCTCCCAGCTGGGCTGGCTCTAAACACCCAGCACTTGCTAGGACCCTGCGGGAACTCATGTGAAATACAGCCACATGGCCAAGTTTCTGCAGGGTCCTGGAGATCATCTCCCCTGACCACTCTGTCTCTCACAGCAGCTAGAAAGTGGAGTGCTGGCCCCTGTGGGCTGCCAGGGTTTGGTGGCTGAAATGGCATGGAGCTGCCTGTAAGCCTCATGAGGCTCTCACAATCCGCCCCATGGAGGGGCAGAGTGCTGGCCCCTGTAGGCTGCAGGGGTTTGGTGGCTCAGGCGGTGTGGAGATAGAAGTGCTGCACATGGGGTCAAGTGACGAGAAGAGCAAGGAAGGAGAAGAGAGCATAATTTACCCACTGGGTTTAGCTACTCACAGTCACCTCAGCCACAAGCTGTTTGTCTTGGCGTTCACCTTCTGAGCCAATGGAGTTAGCAGCAGAGAGGGGGGAGGGAGGAGGCTAAGGGTGGGGGAGAGGCTGTGAGACACACAGTGATGTGATGACGTCACTATGTCGTCACACAGGAAAAAACTTTATATAGATATAGATATAGAGAGAACTTTAAGTCACATAATAAAAGTCACTTAATGGAACACCTACAGGCTGGTTCTACAGTCCAGCAGGATTTAGTTGCAGTTTTGAAAACATAAACTGATGCATTTCAGAGTATAATAGCAGAATAAGAGTTGTGTTTAAGAAAAAGGTATAATTTATGCACTAAATTGCCTTCTAACTCCTGTTATGTGGAGCATTCAGTACATAACTGTAGCGTTAACTCTCAGAAAAAAATAAGCAAAAGAAAAGGCAAAAAAGTACCCTAGAACAAGATTATTATTGTTAGAAAATTAATTCATCACATGAATTATATACTACATTAAGTATTTTGGTCTAGCTATGTAAGGAACTTACCTTTTTATATATAGTACTACTATTATTTTCCTTTATTTTGGCTTTCATGTTGCATCACATATGTCACAATGCCAGGTTCTGGTACATAGTCCTCTCTTTTTGTTTGGAAAATAGAATTGGACTTGATCTTATACCACCCCCAATGTATCAGCCCAAGGCTAGTTCCCATAACAATCAAAACTTTGTAGTTCTTCCAGATGGTTTTAAGGCTCATACTGGCATCTACCTATGTAAAGACAGTTGATGATTTTATTTTAAACATGTTCCAAGAAATTTCTCCCTAACCACTATAATAGGTACAGCCAAACCTGAATGCTAACATTTTTAATTATACTGCAGCATGCCAAATGATTAACAAAAAGTGACAGAAGGAAGACTTGCTTAGAGAACTTTCTTTAAAAATAACTTCAGTTCAGATACCTAAAAAGAAATGCTAATAGCTGTACTTGTTTCTCATACAGTTTTAAGCTATGCTGGTATAATTACTTCCACTTCATTGAGTTATACTAATTTAACTATACCACTTGTGTGTCTAAAACTTTTTTTCCTCCTCAAAGAAGACTGAAAAAGTATACAACATACAAGATCTGCAAGGATCATAAGACTTTATATAGCACTTGTCATTTATAACTCTCAAAGTGCTTTTCAAAGGTTTTACAAGGAAGAAAATGAGTTACACTTACCCCAGTTCTGCAAACACACCCATGAGAGTATTGCAAGATCATGTTAACAGAAACAAAAGGGTATATCTACCCTACAAAAAAACACAAAAAACAAAAATGCCCCCTCAAATCTGACAGTACTCACTCTCAGAGCCTATATTAATGGTCTTGGGTTCATGTTTTGGAGCTACAAAAAAGTTGTGTAGACATGTCCGCTTGGGCTCTGAACCTCGTGAAGGGGTGGGTCTCACAGCCTTAGTGGGAATGCCTACATAGATATTTTTACCTCCATAATGTGATCCTGAATCACCTAATTCAAACTCCAAGACTGGCTGCTACAGGTTCTGGGTTTTCTTTGCAGTGAGGTCTCATCCTAAGCAGCATTCCCTGTACGGTGAGCGCTTGGGTGGCCACCCAGCAGAGATGCAGATGCCACCCACCTGATTAGTAGAGTGCCCACAGCTGCTCACAGTAGACAGCACATGTTTCTACTGGTGGTGCACATAACCAAATGTATTCTGCCCCTGGAAGGAAAAATTTGAGGGAACATTGACTGAGGATGTTAAATTGAGCATAACTGACTAGTCGAGTAGTCAACGGAATTTCTCTGACTGACTACTCAACTAGTCGACAGGCACTTCAGCATTCCTCCTTTGAAATGTACAAGAACCTCCAGTGGGTGGAACACAGCGTGCTGCAGGAAGTCCCGCTGACTCCAGGCTGCACACAGCATGCCAGCTTTGAAATGTACAAGAGTTCCCAGTGGAGGCTCCTGTGATTTCAAAGTGGAAGCGCCCTCATGGACCCTGGGCTCCATGTTGCACTGCCGCTTTGAAATACCACCAGATCCCAGGGTCAGCTGGGAGTTCCCAGCTGATCCTGGGTTCCGCAGAAATGCTGTGCAGACCCCAGCTGACCCTGGACTCCAGGCAGCGCTGCTGCTTTGAAACTCCGTCTTGGTGTTTCAAAGGAGCAGTGCTACATAGCTGAGCCGGGCTCAGCTGTGCAGTGTTGCCCTTTGAAGTACTCCCTCTTCCCCCCGCTTTGCTGCCTCTGATAGAGGCAGCGGGTGGAAGGAGGGAAGGAACTGACTAGTCGACTAGTTTTTAACATCTTTAACACTGATCCTAAGTGACTTTCTCTAAATGTCACTGAACTTCAGTGTCAGTCAAATAAAATCCAGGCCTCCGGTTGCCCAACCTCATGCTTAGTTCACAAAAGAACATATGCTACATTTACCCCTATCCCTCTCAATGCTGTTCCTGATCATTAACATACTTCTGCTGTAAAACCAAAAGCTTCAACACCTATCTGAATGGCATCATTAACCTGAAAATATTTTATTATATCCTTTTACAAGTTTTAGTGAATAACTTCGCTTTCCCCACAAAACAAATCACTCATACTCACAAGAAGTCCTACTGTTGGCAAGAGTTCAGATTTTAAACTCTCTGTCAGGCTCTCATTAGCTTTAGTAATATAAGCTTCTTGTGCTAGATTTACTTTTGGGGGAATTCTGCACCATTGCAGATGCAGAGAATTCATGTGCCACACAGAATTTTTCTTTCCCCAGCAGACAATACATCCTGTCAGAAAGGTGTTGTAGTTACTCCTTTCATCCATCAGGAGCCACTGTTATACCAGAACAGAGCAGCCCCTGCAAAGAGGGTGCAGTCCCATCTGAGGATAGCTGCATTCGTCGTGGTGCCCTGCCTATGGGGCCATGTCAGGAGGCATGGGATATCAAGGGATAGACAGCATACGAAATATGGGAATGCTGAGGATGTGTTCACAGAAAAGTGTTCAGAATATCTAGGGGGACAGACTGGGACAAAAGCTGACTGGCAATATGAGTAGGCTGCAGAGAATATTAGGAGTAAGCTATGAGGAAAGAAAAACAAACAATGAGACCAGTAAAATGACTAAAAAGTGAGGTCTCTATCACAAATAATTTGTAAGAAGACATCAATGGCTAGGGCAGGGCAGGGCTGGGCAAAAGATAATGTGGGCCGTTGATCACTTACAAAATTCTTGGAGTGGCCCCCCATCAAAAATTATTTCCTACTCCTGGGCTAAGGCATATTTTACAAAGGATCATAACTGACTACCAATTATGGCTCTCAGTTGGAGGCCAGAAAATCTAACAAGAAAGAGGGGTAGGCTTAGGATGACTTGCAAGCATACAATCATCAATGACATAAAACTATTTAATTTGAAATAGGACTTAGGTCACATGGCAGCTGATAAGCAAACCTGGAGAATGTGGGTAGCCCAATGTGCTGAAAAGTATGGGATAGATTAAGATCTAAGGGACTGCAGTTTAAATTAATTAATCAGAATTCCATATTAATGTCTAGTAAGGAATTTATTCATAATTCTCTCCCCCCTCCCATTTCCTGAATCTTATCTTTACTGTTATATAGTTACTGGCAGGTATTTTGAAATAAACCAGGGAAATAATTTGAACTGGCATGATTATATTGTTATTTTGACAAATAAAATATGCAGAATTTAAAAATATCATGTGAGTAATGTATTTTTGTGTATAGAATTTCCCCAGTATATATTGTTCAAGATAATGCATTATTATTAGACAGGAATCTGAAAACATAAAAATGATGGGAGCACTGGTGTTTTTTACTTTTTAACTCCCTACTTTTCTGGGGATGGGGGCTTGGGGTAGTGAGTTGAGGTGGAGGGTGGAAAGAAAATAGGAGGAGAGATAAGCAACTACTCTTCTGGAGTTGAAAATTTTTTGAAGGGTTGTTATAAAACAAGTCTTATCTCTAGAACTAGTTAGATCTTTCCCCCACCAAGCTGCAATATTTTCAGATACTTGAAACACCCTAACGACAGGGCTATACTTAAAAAGGTCTGCTGGAATAGCTGCAAACCCTCCTACGATAGATGCAGGAAAGAACGGTTTGGGCCAATGCAGCTCTTACCAATATGGCAAGCAAAATAAGATATACAACCCTAAAGCAATTTTATGCTGGTATAATTGCATCTACCACAGGACTTTGGTAACTATAGACATGTCACAAATACACACATCCCTACTCTTATGGACAAAACTGTATGCTGTAGAGTTGTTCTAAGTCATAGACTGCATTATGACAGGCTCTGAGAATTGGTAGTCTTCCCAATATTATACATGTGTCTGTGCAGTAGAAGGGTATAGTGTTGATAAACATCTCCTCTTAAAACACTTTGAAATATATACCTGACAAGCACCACATGACAGCTAAGCATTACCATTGTCAGGACTAAAGCTAACTGAAAATAATCCAACAATTTCTCAATTTCCCCTTCTCCATAAAGTTTCAAAACATGATACAAATTAATCAGCTGTACTAATATGTGAAATGCTGCTGCAAACTCCCAAAGATAGGAAAGTGAAGAAAGGACTGTTTCTAAATCTTTGAATCTTAGCTTCTTGACTGTGTGCTTTAGGACAGGGGTGTCCAAACTTTTTTCAAAGAGGGCCAGATTTGATGAAGTGAACATGCGTGAGGGCCGACCATTTTGCCTGACATTCTTTGAACCATTACAATTAAATGCAAATTAACTATTTTATGCAAAGTTTATTGCAAACGGCATACTTTTCATTTCGTTACATGGATGACAAATCTAAACAGGTGTTAAATCACTCTGCCTTTCATATCTGAAGGCCAGATGAAAAAAAAAGTCCAGGAAGCTGAAATATATGTCAGGAACATTGTAAAGTACATTACATATTATTGGTAATAAAGGTTGTCTGTCAACTTTTAAGTTCAAAAAATATGAACAGGAACATAACACCAAGTATACATGTTGTGTCCAAATATATTTATAACTGATTTAGACCAACTGACATTAACTGAGATTTTACAATGTATTCATCTCAATACATATGGATTCGTTGGGGACCATAAAAGATAGATATTGCCAAATTACCTGGGGGGCTGTATTAAACCGGAACATGGGCCGCAATTGGCCCGTGGGCCGGACTTTGGACATGCCTGCTTTAGGAGCTGTACACAGAATACCACCACTAGGATACACAGTGAGTGGTGGTGTTCATGTAAGATTTTCTTTGCTTCAGGCCAGGTCTACACACTAGACCTGTAAAGTCAGCTTAAGGTACACAACTCCAGCTACGTAAGCCACATAGCTGGAATCGACATACCTTAAGCCAAATCTGGCACTGTCTCCATACTCCAAATGGTTTGGTCGGCTTCCCTTACTCCTCAAAAGGAGCAGAACGGGCACTGACCCCCATTGTCTGATTTAGCAGATCATTACTAGACCCACCAAATTGAATGCCAAAATTTCGATTTCCGGTGTGTCAAGTGGAGACATGGCTTCAGATTGTCACAGGAGTTTGCAAAGGGCACTGGACTAGGACTCTCAACACCTGGGCTGGATATTGGGCTCTGATACACAACTCCTCTGCAACCCACTCTCTAGGGACTGCTGTTCAAGTGTGGAAAAGAAAAAACCGAGCCTGGCAGGCCATTACGCACCAGGCAGTTATAAAGGCTGCACAGGCGGGGGGCTGCTAGAGATGGGACACTGAGGCTCCCGGGGGGGTCAAACTGTCTCTCCTCAGGTGCTTGTCTGGGTGGCTCTTGCTCCAGCGGAGGTCTGAGGAGGAACTGGAAAGGAATCCCCCGAGCTCAGGCTGGCCGGGACCTTGACGCTTTCCTGCAGCACAAGGCAGCAGCCATTCCCCACTCTGCCCCGGGCATCCCTCGCTGACTCATTCCCCTGCCAGGGCGGTGGGGTGGGAGGAGCTGATCCCGGTCCCGTCTATTCCCGGCCCGTAGCGCTCAGAGGCGGGGTGCAACGTGTGTGGGGCACGCAGAGCAGAGACGCTCGTGAGAACACGGTGTGAATGGCGGGTGCAGGGCCTGCTCCCATTGACTCCAGCTTCCCTCCCCCCGGGGCAAGCTGTGTCCACGGGGAAGGGAACCAGCCCCGCTTCGCCCGCACTCTCCTCTCCGCCCCGCCCCCCCCCTCTCCTGCTCACCTCCGCTCGCAAACCCCCCGCCAACTCGCCCTCGCGGGGTGACCAACCGCCCGCAGCCAACGGCCGCCACTGTCCGCGCCCGCGAGAACCCCCAGACTGTCCGCGCCCGCGAGAACGCCAAGAACCCTCCGCGGCACCGGCGCGGGTCCTTTGGTAGGGAGAGGAGGTGGCTAATCAAATGCCTGTTTGACCACTCAGAGTCAGCCTCCCCCCCAGAACAGAGCCTAACGGGGATTTCAAAATGATTCCTGCTACAGAAAACGCCCGGTCAACGGAACTTGGTTTTTTTTTTTGAGGCCAAGTCCCTCAGGCATCTTTAAAGACACCTAAATAATACAACACTCCCCTCCCCCCATGTGTCGGAGGAGGAAGGTCCCATGCCGTCCGTGCCCCTCTGAGGGGGGGATGGGTTATGGACCCAGCGACGACTCAGCCCTTTTCTAACCGTTGGGGATAACTCGCAATGCGTTTAGCGAACTTGGTTTTTTTTTTTGAGGCCAAGTCCCTCAGGCATCTTTAAAGACACCTAAATAATACAACACTCCCCTCCCCCCATGTGTCGGAGGAGGAAGGTCCCATGCCGTCCGTGCCCCTCTGAGGGGGGGATGGGTTATGGACCCAGCGACGACTCAGCCCTTTTCTAACCGTTGGGGATAACTCGCAATGCGTTTAGCGAAGCACCAAAATTGCATTGGCCGCCCGGGTCACGTGACGCAGGAGAAGCCAGGCAGGGAGCTGCCGTTCCAGGCGGAATGCATGCCGGGAGGGGTTGG